CATTACAACATTGTTTTTTTTTTACTTATGGGAAATATATGTTGTATCATTGCGATTTGAATGCATTTCAATCTTCTGCATTATTCAGTATGCAAATCTGAGAAAATAGAATAAATAGAGTGCAATAGATTATCTACACTAAATGTGTCAAAGGGGTTATCGCTCAATTAACCTGTCCGCTGATCTATACATGTTTGTATGTTTGGTTTTTTTTATGAATCTGTGTTCAAGGTCAACTGGGTCACCACAGGATGTCAGCTGCAGTATCGCGGATTGTACTCTGGCCTCTCCAGGGGGTTCTCGGGGAGTCTCTCCTATCCTCTCTGATCCTGGCTTTGGATGGAGTCCACCTCCAGTAAACTTCATTCTCTGTCCAGCCTATGAGGAACATTCTTTTGCTTGTGCATTTTATAATCTTTTCAAAGAGATAAGACCAGTACACTATTTATGTTCTATGTTATTATTTTTATATAGCCTTAATTGAATTATGCTCAGCTCAGAGCTATATAAAGAGTCGTGTACTGCTCCTTACAATACTTTGCATATCCAGTTAACAATTTAAAGAATGTTTAACACAGTTTCTCTAATGATGCGAAGATATCAATGAAATTGATAATAATTTTTTGCAGCATTAGAAACAGGGAACATTTGGTAATTGCCATATATCTGAAGACATATTAAGTTTATTTACTAGCTACCTTACGTATAATTCTTAAGGGGCATTATTATCCCTATAAGGAAGACAATTTTAAAATGTATTTTTATGTTCAGCAAAATCCTTAACCTCATTAGTGGGTTTTGCAACATTATTCAATATATCGTTTCTTTTTATGCTATAAGTAGAAATATTGGGAGAAAAATGGTTCAGAAAAAAAAAAATAAATAAAAAAAATAAATTAAAAAAAATCTGAATCAGGGAAATGTTTTTAATATTGCAATGTCAATTATTTTCAATATATTGTTTCACTTGTACAATGTGCAGTAGAAACTTCGGTAATGTTTTCTATATTTACTTTAAAATATTCTAACAGTACTATTTTCAATAGTATTATAGTATCAAGAAAAAAATTAAAAAAATAAGAATTTAGTATGAACAGTAAGAATATGTTCAAGATACCTGTGAAAACATTCAATATATTGTTGCAATATTGGTGGAAACATTCAGTATAATTTCGATTAGTTTTGTTTTGTTTTTGTGAATGTTTAAGGTTTTGATGGAAACATTCAATGTAATGATTAAAAGTTTTCCTGGAAATTAAGTATTTTATTTCAAAATTTTCGGAACACATTCAGTTCAATGTACCATTGTTTTTGTGCAAACATTCAGTATAATGTTTTAAAGTTTTTGAAGACACATTCAGTATGCTTCATTGTCTTTGTGACAATATTCATTGTAAATAATATTTCAAAGTTTTTGTCTTAAACATTCAGTATAATGTTTCAAAGTTTGTGTCGAAACATTCATAATGATATTTCAAGTTTTATGGAAACATTAAGTATAATGTTTCAAGTTTTTGTGGAAACATTCAGTATAATGTTTCAATTTTTTTTTTGTAAGCATTTAGTTTTATGTTTCAAGTTTTGTAGAAGCATTCAGTATAAAGTAACAAAGTTGATGTTAAAACATTCAGTTTATTGTGTCAAGTTTGTTTTGGAAACATTCAGTATAATGTTTCGAGTTTTTGTGGAAACATTCAGTGTAATGTTTTTGGTTTTTGTGGAAAATTTCAGTATAATGTTTCAAATGTAATGTGTAAGAATTCAGTATAAAGTTTCAAGTTTGCTTTGGAAACATTTAATAGAATGTTTCAAAGTTTTTGTGAAAAATATTCAGTATCATGTTTCATAGTCATGTATTAGTGTTTGTGGAAACATTCCGTACAATGTATCAAACTTTATGTTTAAACAGACAGTATAATGTTTAAATTCTGTTTTGGAAACATTCAGTAAAATGTGTCAAAGTTTATGTTGAAACAGTCAGTATAATGTTTAAATTCTGTTTTGGAAACATTCAGTACAATGTCTCAAAGTTTATGTTGAAACAGTTAGTATAATATTTGAATTCTGTTGGAAACATTCAGTATAATGTTTCAAGTTTTTATGGAAACATTCAGTATAATGTTTCGAAGGTTTTTTGGAAACATTCAGTGTAAAGTTTCAAAGGTTTTGCGGAAACATTCAGTATAAGGTTTCAAGCCTTTGTTTAAACATTCAATATAATGTTTCAAAGTTTTGTGGAAGCATTCAGTATAATGTTTCAAGTTTTGATGGAAACATGCAGTTTGATGTTTCAAGTTTTGATGGAAACATGCAGTTTGATGTTTCAAAGTTTTTGTGGAAACATTCAATATAATGTTTCAAAGGTTTTGTGAAAACATTCAGTATAATGTTTCAAATGTTTTATGGAAACATTCTGTATAATCTTTCAAAGGTTTTGTGGAAGCATTAAGTATAATGTTTCAAGTTTTGATGGAAACATGCAGTTTAGTGTTTCGAAATATTTGTGGAAACATTAAGTATAATGTTTCAAAGGTTTTGTGAAAACATTCAGTATAATTTTACAAAGGTTTTGTGGAAACATTTAGTATAATGTTTCAAAGGTTTTGTGGAAACATTCAGTATAATGTTTCGTAGTGTTTGTGGAAGCATTTGGTATTATATTTAGTGAATCTGGTCATTAGTCCAGTAAAGTGTTTATCAAATATTCCACAATGTACATCCTCTATAGTCATCAAATCTGTATAACTCAGCTCAATTTTAATGTCTTCATAATCGGCTTACTATTATCAATGAGTTCAGCATTGAAACTTGCCTGCATAGTCTTTGAGCTACATGTAAGATGACGGCTAATCATTTAAATTGTATGTTGAAATCTGCCCGCATAGACTCAAGTTAAGATACATAGTTCAGCAGAGAGCTGCTTATGTAAATTGTGCTTCAAAAGCTGCTTGCATAGTCTGGAGTTAAGATACATTAGTTCAGCGGATAGCTGCTCATGTGAATTGTGTTGCAAACTCTGCTTGCATAGTCATGAGTTAAGACACATGAGTTCAGAGGATAGCTCCTCATGTAAATTGTTTGTTACAATCTGCTTGCATAGTCGAGAGTTAAGATACATGACTTCAGCGGATAGCTGCTCATGTAAATTGTATAATAAAATCTGGCTTGCATAGTCTTGAGTTAAGATACATGGCTTTTACGCATTGCTGCTCATGTAATGGCTTCAGCGCATTGCTGCTCATGTAAATTGTGTGTTAAAATCTGCTTGTATAGTCATATTTCAAGATACATGAATTTAGCGGTTAGCTGCTCATGTAAACTCTGCCTGCATTGTCTTGAGGTTAGATTAAGACCTACCTAATTTTACATATATACTAAACATTCCTTGCAGTGATTTTTGCTTCTCTTGATCCACAATTAAACAGCTAACAGGTGAATGTTAATGTCTTTGTTGCATCAGTACTTGTTATTTGTCAAGAACACCTAGTCTAAAATGTATGTGAAATCATATGAACTTCAACTTCAATGTTGTTTAAAAAAAATACTTCAAAAAATGCTGTAAATTTCAGTATTTTACTCTAATTATAATTTTTTTTTTCTTTTGATTTTTCTCCTTGTTTGGTGTCAACCCCTCACTGCGTGACGCTGCGTGAGGGATTGTGGCGCAATTGTTTGGACGCCTCCAAGGATTTACTCATTTATGTTTATATTTTATGCATATTTACATGTACTCTGATATGTTCACTGCATGTAAATTTCTAGTCAGTCTCAGGGGGATCACACTTGTACTTTTCTCCTGTGTACATGTAACCTGTATTGTTTAATATTAGATGATCCCCCTTAATGATTTGTTATACATTTTACTATATGTCATTGAATAAAATGATACATTCGACAGAAATGCATATCTGTGTTTGGTTGTTTTTCACTGCACTTTAAGACTGATATTTCTCATAGGAGGCATAAAACAATATTATCACAGATAATTCAATTTATGTCGCTATGAGAAATATATTATATTTTACACCTAAGGATAATTCTGCATATCCCTGCGCAGTCTGCAGGATATGCACCCTTATCGCAGCGCAATTATTATAGAACCTTTAATTGCGAAATCGCACCTTATTTTGCTTGACATAGTTCTCCAATCAAAATCCTTGATTTTGTTGCGCCATTTTTGCTAGCCTGGCAGTGCATTGAAGAAAAAAAACCCACAACCCACCCTTTTTGGGATTTTTGGTGTTATATTATTTTGCATTTTAGTCCAGATTTGTTTTTTTGTAACTTACTTGTCATATGTTTCTTGATTGGCGCAATTGTTTGGACGCCTCCAAAGATTTACTCATTTATGTTATATATTATGCATATTGACATGTACTCTGATATGTTCACTGCATGTAAATTTCTAGTCAGTCTCGGCGCAATTGTTTGGACGCCTCCAAGGATTTACTCATTTATGTTATATTTTATGCATATTTACATGTACTCTGATATGTTCACTGCATGTAAATTTCTAGTCAGTCTCAGGGGGATCACACCTGTACCTTTCACCTGTGTACATGTAACCTGAATTGTTTAATATTAGATGATCCCCCTTAATGATTTGATATACATTTTACTATATGTCATTGAATAAAATGACATATTCGGCAAAACTGCATATCTGTGTTTGGTTGTTTTTCACTGCACTTTAAGGCTGATATTTCTCATAGGAGGCATAAAAATATATATGAAAACAAAGAATTCTGGTTTTTTATTCATTAAAATTGAAACGGAAAATTCTGTTGTGGTCTTCACATCATGATTTATATATTTCAATGAGTTTTTCGATTAATAATATTCATTTTCTTAATTCATATACTTATTTGATATATTTCCTTTAACTAAAGATGAAAACTTCACAAAATCTGGTGGCTTTTATTTGAAGATTTGCTACACAACTACACAACTGTATAAATATTTTCAACTCCTTTAACAGTTTTAAAGTGTTAAATGACGTTCGAGAAACATTAAACAAAACTAACCCTTGAGGAGACTTATCCTGCTTGTTGTTTTTCTCTGGTAAATTCCGATGTTTTCTGAAATGAAAATTCAGTTTTAAGGCGTAATTTGTAAATATAATATGATAAGATTTTAAGAAATTACGGAATGTATTTTCAATACTTTTTCCACATAAAAAATATAACAGTGATTTTTCTTCAGCTCTTCAAACATGGTATTCTTTTCATTGTAAACATGTGTTTCAAGTTTACCTTTGTATGTTATATGAACTCACTTAATTGTATTTAAAAAAAAAAAAAATATGTTACCCTCAAGGGTCCGAATGCATTCTTTAGTATCTTGATCATCTGCATATTGTTTGGTCAGCTGGTCTCTATAATGCTTGTCTTGGACGGGATCCATTGTTGTGTGTCTCAATAAGTCAACTTCTCTCTGATAATAATTTCCATTTAAAAGAAAACTATCCATTTCTACAACTGCAAATCGAACTGACGTCCAAATATCATTCAATTCACTGTTTGCGAGGGAAGGACTTGCTGAGTGGACAGTGCTATTTCGGGCCAATCGTACCCTTTCGATATTTGCAGAAAGGCATACATCATTAACATCTGGGACCTTTCCCCACCCAATTTTATGAGGTTTAATGTTACAAATGTTCCGTAAAAGAATGTACAACAGTGAAATATCAAAGTCATCGTAATTTCCAGAATAGGACCCGATGTTGGGTAAAATCAGGTTCCTTTGTTCGGGATTTAATCTTGGCAGATTTAACTTTTGTTTACTTATTTCAAAGGCAAATGCATGCGGCGGAACCTCTTTCCGAAGAACATCTCTCAGTTGATCGGTACATGGTCCAAGTAGAAGGCGACAAGCCCTGTTAGCATTCGTTGTCTCTTCTGTTGAGCTGTACGGACTGATAGCGGCAGCCATGATGGAACCATTTAAATATCACGTGAAATAAGCACAGCCTACAAGGCAAGAGTGCCGATTTATTTTTTAATTCTATGATTATCTTTAGATTAATTTTTATTATTCACTAATTCACTGAGGGGAAAACTATCAATATATGTTTTAATGTAAATTGTTATCTTCGTTCCTAGTACTATGAACTTTAAATAATAAAGACTAAATAAATAAAAGGACTAAAAAACTCGTCTAAACCGGTTCATAATTTTAAACACAAACAGACCAAGGTATTATAAGAAATCGAATTTGATCAAGTTTGTTTGGTTGTTTTTTTTTCTTTAAATACTATTCTGATAAAATTAAATGATTTACAAACTTACCGTCGAGGTCAGAATATTTCAAAACTTATAGAGCGAGACATCATGTCTGTTGAGATAAATAATGAGATTGCTAAAAATAAATTCTCGGTGGGTAAAACCAAATTTAAAAAACCGACTTTTAAATAGTTGTATGGAGAGGATAGGGATCGGTAATTTAAAGGGGAACATTGTGATACACAGAATTTTTAAAATAAAAAGGGGTATCAAAAACCCGATGAAATATTAAAAGCCTTAAAAAAAACGGAATGACATTTGAATAAAGATATTTTTGTTTTAAATACTTTTTTCTTTTAAGCATGTAGTTAATAATTTGGACGTCTGATATGCAGGACGTTTCCTCATAAATTTCTACAGGGTCTTAAAATCAGGGTCTTGAAATGTTGATACAGTATTTTACTCACTTTCATGTACAATTTCTTTTTTTTTTAGATTTTGTTTTATGTTTTCTTTGAAATATTTATTAAGGCATGCAACAAACACTACATGTTAATTGTTGTAAAATCTGGTTACATTTGTCACAGCACAAACTACATCAAGATTGTACTGTATATATTGTATAGAACATGTGTTATACAGAACATCTACATTGTATATTGGAACACAAATATTGTACAGAACACACATTGTACGGACACACATGTGTTATACAGAACATCTACATTGTATATTGGAACACAAATATTGTACAGAACACACATTGTACGGACACACATGTGTTGTACAGAACATATACATTGTATATTTTAACACAAATATTGTACAGAACACACATTATACAGACACATGTGTTGTACAGATATGAGGTCATACATTTGTTGATATATTTTTAGCAGAGAGAGTAAGAATTTTATTTCATCATTGTGACTTGTTGTGACAAGTTTAGACTTTTTTATGCTGCTCTTTGGGTTTATTTTTTATTTTAGAATTTTTAAAAATTATTATGCATTGCTATTGGTATGATATATGGTGATTTAGGAGTTATCAAACCTCCGTTGTACATGTACTTCTTCAAGGTTAAGGATTGTTGTGAGTTAAAAAATGATAATTGTCAGATTGACTAGAAAGCAATGATATAAGATATTAATTATGAAATATTTTAGAAAATATCCAATTTTTACGAAAATATAATTTTGGGCAAAAAATCAATAACCTGGTATTATTTATAATCAAGATTTTCAGTTTTTGTTTTGCATTGAGGATTGAAAAAAAGTGTTCATTGTTAGTATTGTCGCACTTTTATGATCTTATTCAAATGGTGTATAAAAAAATGAGACTATAGTGGTTAAAAATATCTCTTGTTAATGGGTTATAGGTCATTGTTGATTTCAGCTGTTTTCATTGGTTATTGTTGTTTGAAATATGATTTTATTTGTCACATTACATTCCATTTTGTTATTATTTATAGTATTTTTACTGTTTGATCTCCAAAGCTTTATTAACTCATGATCATTTTCTGGTTGTGTATTTTTGAAAAACACATTTATCCTGTATCAAACCAACTTAAAATATTTTATGCAGTAACCTTAATCAAAGGTAGTTGCTTAAATTATTATTCAACAACTTTATACTAAGGCAAATTCAATTTAATGAATCTTTTTATATTTTGCCAACAATTTATATTGTGATTTTTATGAAGTTGAAATCCATATGGAAGTATTAAGTTTTGCGCCTGGGAATATTTTCCGCATAAATTCTCAGAAAAGTCAATAATTTGCTGCTAGAAATACTTGTGCTTGAAATACAGATTACAGATAAATTTTGATATTTCAAACTCCAAAATCTTGAATACCAAATATGGTATATGTTGAAGAGAGTTGGAAGTCCAAAACATTTATTCTTGAATCTTTTGATATCTCAAGGTGTTTTACAGTCCTATTGAGTTTCAGATAAAGAGGTTTGACTGTATACACCTCTCTCAAATAAAAGGTCGTTACAGCTATAACAGAAATACTTCCAGCCTTTTGTATGCTCAAGGGACTATGTCACTTCTGAATATATTTTTTTTCTCCTCAGGTTTTTTTTCAACTCAAAAGTTTTTATTAATTGCATGTTATAAGAGAGCTTCTATCCACAATTTTTATCTGATGTTTTTTACGTTATATTTTTTTTACTGTGCATGAAACATAACCATCTTTTTCTTCAATTTGAAACCACTTTATCTTATTATGCCAAATCTTATTTTTATTAATGCTGTTTTAGTTCATTGTTTGTTTGTCATATGATTTTTATATGCAATAAAACACTGCTCACTTTTTCACTTCTTTTGTTTGCTTTTGTATGACATTATACACTTTATTACTTTGAAATGATAGTATATGTATAGTGTCAGTTTTCTATTTACTGGAAAACAAACAAATCGCAAATTGAATTCTGGGGAATCTTTAGTCCATTTTTAAGGTATTTCCACCCTCCTATGATGTCATAAGTTTTAGCAAAAACTTTTATTAATTTAAATTCATACCCGATAGAACCATTTTTTTAAAGAATGCTTTTCATTAGGTGTAATATTAGATATTGTTAAGAAATAGAACTTAAAATAATGTATACTTTAATTTTTAAATCAATTATTCATTTTTAAACATATGAAAATGGCAATAATTCCTTCTGAGATATCATTATTCAGACAATCTCTTTTTTTTTACTTTAAATGTACAGTAGTTTCCCTGATACTCACCTTTCAAGATAATTCTATTATAAGTTGGAAGTATTATGGAATCTTAACATCAGAATTATGTATTTACATAAAATTTATAGTACAATTAAAAAACATTACACGACTTTTTTTTACGCTGACATACATTACGTTTATGTATGTCTCCCATCTTAAATAATATGGTGACCTTTTTTGCGATAATTGGTAAATTTAAATTCGTACATTGAATGAAAATGAATGCAGTTTTTGTTTTGGTGGAAAAACCTTAAGTACATAAAGATAATATAAAATCATCTCAAATTCGCTTGAAGATGGTTTCGTATTACAAGGTTTTAGGAGGGAACATCAAAGATGGCAAATTGTATAAAGAACAAGGTTAACCTTTGCCTTATTTGACCATATGTATTTCTGAAAACTGAAACCCCATAGTCTTAGGTTACAATGCATCGAATATCAATTAGACCTTTGGTGACTGCGTATCTATCAAAAATGATGTAATTTTCTGGCTAGTCAATGTATTATAATTGCGGCAATATACTCATAGTATGAAAAAGTCTACAAAAACGTTTAATGTTTAAGCTATTTTTCTATATTTGACATAGAGCGCAACCTCTGACCTAAAATATGCAACTAGTGAATGATAGAGCTGTTTCTGAGGATTAAAAAACATTGTTTAGTTTTTAGATCAGAGAGTGTGCTCACATATATGTTTCATATAAATATTTAATCTTGGTATCTACATCATACCTTATTCCGATTGAGTGAATTGTTCTCTTGACTCAACCCTAACAAAAAATACTGTAGTTAATTATAGCAAACACTTTGATACTATGAAAACGTTGATTTACTATAAAGAACACTTTGATTTACTATAGTGAACACTTTGAAATTGATTTACTATTGTATACACGTTGACACTTTGATTTACTATAGTGATAGCTATGAAAACTTTTATTTACCAAGGTAATAAATATGGAAACTTTGATTTACTTTTGAAAAAATTTTGATTAATTATGGTTATCACTTTGAGAACTTTGATTGATTGATTGTGTACTGTTTTACGTCCCTCTCCAGAATATCTCACTGATATGGAGACGTCACCATTGCCGATGAAGGGCTGCAAATTGAGGCCTATGCTCGGCATTTACGACCTTTGAGCAGGAAGAGATCTTTATCGTGCCACACCTGCTGTGACACGGGGCCTCGGTTTATACGGTCTCATCCGAAGGATCACCGCATTTATTCGCCTTTTACGACAAGCAAGGGGGTACTGAGGACCTATTCTAACCCGGATCCCCGCGGGGCTTAAAAACTTTGATATACTATAATGTACACCTTGACACGTTAGTGAAAACTTTGATTTACTATAGTGATAACTTAGACACTTTGATTTAGAATAGCTTACTATAGTTCACCATTGTTTACTGTAGGTTAATATTGGTAACTTTTGTAAATTATAATTAACATAAGGATTTATTGTTATCGAAAATATGTTTTTTGAAGCCACTGTTGGTGAAATTGTAAAAAAGCATTTTCTTTTTTGTGCTGATGGTATTTGTTCAAATTACACAAAGGATCAAGTTAATTTAAACAATAAAATGGTTTCTTTGTTTATTATTACTGGAATGAACGGAAGCAGCTGTTGCAGAAAAAATACATAACCCGCGTAATCAGGTTATGTAATTTTTTTCTGCAATAGCTGCGACCGTTCATTCCAGTAATAACAAACAAAGAAAGACATTTTTTTTGTTTATATTTTTATCTGTTTAAATTATTATTTTAAGTAGGATTAAAAATATTAATCATTGGGTTAATGATGCGAACGTCCTTGTACGTTTCATTGATGTAACGGCCACTGATAAAAAAAAATCTGTACAGGTGATATGCAAAATGTAGTTCATGCAGTGATGAACGCAATGGGTTTTCTTAAGAAATAAAGAAGAAAATATCCAGTGGATGTAAATATTAATCATTGCAATGAAACATTTGATAATTTTTTAAGTCTTTGATTAATGTAAATTACA